GTCGTTGGAACTAGCTTTTCTTTAAATTTAGTTTTCTCTCAAGAAAACAGTTTTATTGCCCTTGCGACCGAAGTGATTCTTCGGACATTCCAACTCGGTAACTTTTTTCATCATTTCACGGGAGGTGTCCGTTACCTCGTGCTTTATGTGGTTCACTGTTTCATTTGTGTCCGTTTGAAGAGATCTCTTGACAGGCGGCACGTGCGCTTGTGCTGAAACCGTTCTGGCGTAAGAAACGGCGGCGATTAGTGCGGAGCTCCATAGAATGCCTTAAAAGCACGAACTCTTTATCGACGTCCCGTTCAAACGTTTAGGGCGCGATTCCAGTGATGCGTGCTAGCATGCAGACCAGCAACCGGTTGCGCGCAACTCACTTGAACTCAAAACAAACCGACCTCGCCGCCTGGCCGTCGGACTTCGTGTCAGTGGTTGTTTTTTCTCTCCCGCATCCCCAAGAAGTGACTGACGTCTTACAAGGTGGCTTAGGTCGTGCTTCCGCATGACATAGCAGTCATCGTAGCAAACCGGTGCGACTGCTGGATCTCTTCTCTTTCGCATCTTCATCGACGTAAAGACCACCCGATTGGCGACGCGAACCGCTGGTCCAACAGCACGCGGTGCTCGCCTATCGTGAGATGTAACGTTTTGGTCCCGGAGCATCTTCGTTGGCCACCCGACATGACCGGTGTTGCGGGGGTCCTTGAAACGGGGTACGCTGGCAACGTTTCAGCGCCGATTTTTCTACCGTCCACTTGTGACCACTACACGTTCCGATGAGGCTGCGGGTTGTTTCAAGCTGTCATCAAACGATTAATCTTCGTTTATTGGTTGTTTATAATTTCGATATCTGATACAGGGTTCAATCGCTGTCAGCGCGCCGACCCTTGCTTGTGGTCACCTCGATGGACTACTGAAGCAGGTCACGACTCCACCGTGCTTGAGCACCTGCAGTGCATCGAATGCGAGTGCATCACGAGTTTAGCCGAACAAGGGTGTATTATAACACTACGTCTGCCTCTCTCCGTAGCTAATATGTAGGCAGAATCTGACTCGATTGTTTTGAGGTAGCTACTGTATAGTAGCTAGTTTCCAATTCCGCCCGTATTCATGACATTTAAGTTTTTGATATCCGATTGTTTGTTTATAGTTTGTATTTCGTACCTGAATCCGATGACGGCCTTTTTGAGAAAGCGAGTCACTCGCGTTCTTTCCTCACTGAAATGAATAAAAGGTCATGGGAGCTCGGTGAGGGTGATTTCTCATGAACAATTTCGATTGCAAAGCTGCCTTGATTTTGCTGTTCAAGATGAATGTACTGGTAAAAGCGAGACTTACTTCTAGCTTTTGAACATAATTTGTCAGAAAATTTATCACGGATTTAGCTGGTACGGACAGCCCAGCCGCCATGATGAAGTGCCTTTCTGTTTCATTACGATTTCGATTCCGTTTGCGCTCGAGTCTATTTATATCCATTAAGGTCTCCAAGTTCGCTGCAATCACCTTGCACCTGTCGCCAGTCTGAGTTGATGCTGGATTGAAGATATTGTTAGTACCGATCAAATGATCAAACGTCAGCACAGAGGTAGGGGAAGTCATTGTTTTCGTACTAGACAGTTTCTTGCCTTTCATGTATATCTTCATGCAACTAGTTGCCTAGAAACTATTTCTCTGCCACCACTGCAAATCGTATGCTTATTGACGTAGGTGAAGATGCGAGACCGTAGAGCCTCCGGTTATATCCGCTAACTCGTTAATCATCCTTTTTAATCTGGAAGCAAATGAATTTGAAACCTGCAGTCGGACGGCAACAATTTCGTGATGTTTAACATTTTGTCACTGTTTCTGGCATATGCACAGATTTTTCAGGATTGTAAAATCAAGAAAATCTCGTTTAATCTATTAACGCTTCGTAACTTTCGAGTTGCTTCAGATGTTGTAAAGCGCATTATCTATGCCTTTTATGCTTTGAAGTTGCGAAAGTTTACTGCTTGAACGGAGTCACAGAGTAATTCAGTTTTTTCAGCATATAAAAATAGCTCGATTAACACAGTTAATAGTCGCACAGTGCGAATAAATAGCAGTACTATTTTATATTGGAGATATGAATACAGCGACTGCGCCTTCTTTGATGTCGAGCGTCGCGCAAGATTCTCGTTTCTGACACCTTCCTGTAAGTCTGTGGAGAAAGTTTCGTAGCTTCTTTACTGAATATTCAAAGAACTTCGCAGGAATCATGGAGCCTGCCAATCATCTGCTGATGATCAGGGGATACTGTATCATATTTTATGACTAAAAAAAGCACAATAAACCAACCCAAATGTAATGAAAAACGATAAATTGGAACAAATATACAATAATGTGCAAGAGAGATGTTTGAGCTGAATTGGAGCGTCCAACATGCAGAGTACCCATGAGCGATTACGGAGAACCGACTATTCTACCTACTTACCAATCGACGAATGAGACCACTATAGTAATAGTCACAATAGGCCGCCAGTAATTTTTCATTCTTTATAAGCGATATTTCAGACCGATCAGACCTTCTGAACACTTTTTGGGCATCTTAACACGTTTCTTTGTGGGAACTCGCCGATACCTTAATTTAATCGCGTCATCAAAGTTTCTTTGCGGCTCTGGCTCACTGTAAACCGTTGAGATCACAGCCTTCTCTTCACGGCTTCTTGTAACGCGGAATCGTACGTCTCATCATTACCCGTTCTAAATCTGAGAATTTACTGTCGTACAGAGCTGGCCAACGGATATTTCATCTGGGATTGGCTATCCCTGCTTCAACGTCGTGAGGAAACAAAAATTCCATATCTCTGCTTTGGCATCAGTGCCCCTGTGGGCATTTCAGTTGTCTGGAGTTTTTTTCTTTTCATTGCTGTTCTTGTCGTTTATTCTACATTCGTCGTGACTTGTTGAAAAATCGGCTGAAGTCTCTTGTTCTACCGCCATGCCAATAAGGACTGTTCTAATTTACATAGTTCCTTGCTTTCTTATAAGCTAAGTCCAACAAAACATAAACGACATTTGCATTAGGCACGTTTGGATGTACGGTATTTCCATCAGACATCATAATATTATTCTTCGAATACATCATAATCAAATGCATAGTAATCAGATACATTACACAGATGGCAATAAGAAGCAAGTTATGTATAATTGCCAAATTGTCATGGCTATTGTAAGATTGGAAGCGCGCTAACAGGTCACTTCCGTATAGTCACCCATTGTGATAATGACGTTCATTTCGGTAGAATTGACGGCTGTGCTAACCGCCCTGCATGAACATAGCATAAACCCTGTTTATTTCAGCCTGGTCGCGGAATTGAACACCGGTTGCACGTCACGTTTGGCATTAAGTTGTTCATCGAACCATGTCGCATCAGTATCCATCGAGGAGCGCGCCAAGGAGATACCATCTCATCAACGTTCTTCGCCTCGGTCTTGTCACTCGTCAACAGGCTAAACTTGTACTGATACATTGATACTATGAACTAGTAAACCAAACTTCAAAGGTATCAGTATTGATGGAGAGCAGCTGCCGCACTTGTTATTTGCCGACGACTGCACTGTCTTGGACAAGACACCGTGGCACTGAAACTGAAGGTCCAGCATCTGCAAGAAGAATATCTCACGATTAGTTTGGAGGTTGACGTCGCAAGTTCGCACCCATTCTGTAGGACATAACGCTAGACGGGGATATCAGCAGAGGAAGGAAGGTGGCGTTAGCCAGCTTTTATCGTATTAAGGCATCATTACTCGTCAATGAGCTGCCAAAGCGGGTGGAGAATGAACTGTTCGATTTAATCGTCCTATTCACCATGAGCTACTGCGCTGAATGCTGGTCTGCGGTTAAATTTGAAGAGGACAAACTGATGCTGACGCAAAGATGATGGATCCAAGAATGGGCTAGGTATCCCTCCGGGATCACGTTCCTGGCGCTTTAATCCGACAACGGAATGGATTAACGGATGTAATTTCTGTCTTTCCACGACATCGAGAGAACATAGAACTCTCTACGGCTCGCCTGAGAGTCAATCGGTGCACGTAAAGGATTTGAAACTGGGTTCTTCTGGACCATGAAACTCGTCCAAGAACTCGCTGGGATGAGCTGATGGTCAAAGTGCTTGATGAGCAGTGGGTCAGAAATGATGGGAGAGAATAGAGAATGATGGGGGAGCGTAGACTTGCGTTCATAGCAAGGACATGTTGGATAACGGATATAAACGTTAATTCTCTGTTGCCGTAAACCATAAATCGCTTTGACTTGGTTCTTGACCTTACCTTTCAAAGATTAGGAATGAATATCCCTTTCAAAAATATCTATTTAATTCCGTAGAGTTAATTAGAACGGTTTGTTTATTTATTTCGGTGAGTAACGTATACTGCATTTAGTCCTGTTCACACGAGGAGGACAGGTGAGTATAGAGTTCTTCGGTGGGTCATGAGGAAATATGCATTTCGACAAATTATGTCAATAGCATAGCCTGCTTCAAGCTTCACGTTGCTTGTGTCATTGCTCTGAGAATTTGCCTACCGTTTTTTGTGCGCCAAACTGTTTTATTCTACCTGTTTTGAGGCTAGCTATCAGCTAACCGTTATTTGGCATTTTAGCGGCCGGACATTCGAGGATGTTCTGGAGAGCGTTGGCGGCTTTGGCTTGTACCAGATGTGTGTGTTTACTGTGACGAAGCTTCCTTACACGATTGTCACCGCAAGCATGCTATGCACGATGTTCGATACGATCAAGCCGAGGGAAGGTAGAAACTACAACGGCAGCTATGTGAATGCGAATTTCACCTCCAACTGCAGCTGCACGGTGAAACCGTCAGAGTTTCGCTCGCTGCTGGTCGACCTGGAACTCTGCTGTGATAACGACTACCTGCCGACCCTGAT